GGGGGGGCACAGGGGTAGCAAGGGGTGTAAAGGGGTGTCCCGCAGACTTGGGGGGGGGGGGGGGGAGGACTTTCCAGAAGATGATGCGGGGAGAGATTGGTACCCAAAGGCTGCGAAGATGAGAGCACTGGGAGGATGCGGAGCGAAGCGCCCGGGATGCGGGGACACGGAGGGAGACAGACATACGGCCGGCCAAGACACGCGCGCACAGAGGTGGTTTGCTGTAAGGAGCCACGATGCACTCAGGAGTCTTGGGAAAAAAAAAAAAAATCGGTATTGAGGGCAAAAATCAGAGAGGGGAGAGGCCTGGGCAAGCGCAGCCCGTCCACGCTCGCCACAGGACCATGCTTCGCCCTCCTGGACGCACGGCCTGGGAGGGAGCAGGGTGCTCCGTGACCAGAGCCGGGGGGGCAAACGTCTGCAGGCTGCTCCGGTGCTCCCACGCAAAGGCTTTTTATGGACATTTCTGGTTAAATCTGCAGCACCTTCCCGTGTGGTCTTTTTGCCCCTGTGGTAAATCTTTGTTTTGAGATATTAAAAGAATGCAATTATTTCCCAAAGCAGCCAAAACAAAAGCTCTTGCCCAGCTCTGGCATGTGTGAGGACACACCGTATTGATTGAAGAAAGAGATTACAGCATTACTCATCCCCACACTCAGACCTGGATTTTCCCACCAATTCCAGCAGCTCAGGGCAGCCTGGCAGGGTGAGGCAGAGCAGGGGCTCGGGACCATCTGCGAGGGATGATTTAATCCAGCACCAGCCCCTCTCTGCCCGCTTTGTGTCCCTGAGCACAGCGGTGGCACAGGCTGGAGCCGTGCAATGGCCCAGCACCCGCTCTCAGCGTACCATGGCCGTGCCATGTCTTTGTCTGGATGAGACCCAGGAAGGCGTCACAGTCCCCTGGCTGGTCTTGCAATCTGGGTATCGGAGGAGTGAGATTATAAAACAACTTGTTGAGGACATTCGCCCTGCAGGGTAGCTGTAACAACAGGCACCGGCATCCAGGTCATGCAGACGGCCGTGCACCGAACTTTTGCTCGCCCGTGGCTGTGATCTGTCTCCGTGCTGGAAGGACGGCGTATTAGCTACCAGTTCGACACAGTTAGGACGCACAGGTATCTCGTACTGCCACTGTCCCTAATTTTTATTGCCAATGGCCGTGTGGCACCTCTGTTCCTCACAAGATGTCAGAGACAAACAACTTCTCGCAGCTTCAGACTGGTCCTGCATCCTTTCCACCCTCAAACCGCCCCCCCCCAGCTGAACATCCCATAACCCATGGGCAAATCTCTCTCATCATTTTAAAATTAGTCATCTCCCACCAGTATGGAGAGGGATTGTCCAAAGGAGATACTGTGCTGAAGCAGTGAGCTGCAGTAATGAATTATTTACTGTGCAGTAACAGGAGCTGCGTTTCAATCTGCAAGTGGCCAGCAGGACCCATAGGGAAGATAAACAAGGAGTAGATGAGATTAACTAAACTGCTGTAATTTCAATGTCAAAGTAAACAGATAGGATCCTGTTCAGGCACAGCCCAGAGATTGCAGAAGGGTTGAAGGGGGAAGGTACAAACCTACCTTATTGCAATAAACAAAGCAATTTCACTTGACTAAGATGAAAGTGTCTGTGTCTCCTGGGCACCGCCAGCCCGCAGAGTAATGCTATCAGCAGCTGTGGGATCACTCGTGGTTTAGCCCACTGGTCCAAGAAAGCACTTGAGCACACATTTAACCTTAAGCACGTGTTTAATACTGCCGTTGATTTATAAGGATGCTTTCCAGAGGCTTTCCCCGTGATGAAAGGAAGCAAGCCTTGGGTAGCTTCTCTTTATGTTTCTACCAGATAAATTCTTTTCTGCAATTTTCTGTGTTGTCGTTGATATGTAGGCTTAGGTATGCTTTTGTTCTAGACTGGCTCAGGAAGCCTATTTTAATGGAAATGTCAAGGGACACAGATCTAAGTCCACTGGAATCCACTGATAAGGATCCTCTATTGTAACAGTATTGCTACTGCTTTCTCAACAGTGGGGAAATCCACTAAAATTCCCCCTGCCTCCCCCAGCTGCAGCCTTAGAAATCCTAAACAGGGTTTCTCCAGCGGCAGCCCTTTGTACCACAGGCCCCAGTGCATGTCCGCTAAAACCAACATGAAAGTCAAGAAGGAATTTGGCTCGATGTCAGGTAAACCTGCTCAAAGCTAGTCTAATCAACTGGATGCTTTGTCATAACGGAAGCTCTGTTTACTTGCAGGCTCCTAACTTTATATTTATTTATTTATTATTTTAAATAAATGCTACAGCATTACCTCAGTGCTGGAAACATCCACGTCGTGGTCAAAACCTACGGCTCCACTTTTAGACTCGGTGGCAACCGGCTCTGTTCACCTCTGCTCGTGGACTAGTAAAGGAATAAACTTTCCCCAGAAGATACGCTTACAGCAGTGAGCCCTCCAGGAGGGAAGAGCTCCACTAGGCATCAAAATGCCAAAGACAACAAAAAGTTTAATGATCGCCTCTCCTTAGTGGTCTTCCAAGCTGGCAGCATTCCTCACCTGCTGCTGGGTAGTGCTCAGGCAGGTGTGAAACCCATTCCTCCTCGGAAAACACTAAGGAAACTGGTTTTGCTCTGATCCTCCCAATTGGGTGCCCCATCCATCAGCAGAAGAAGGGAAACACATTAGCACCAATAGGAGCCTTTTGAAAAGTAATTTATGGCCTATCACATCTAATGATTACAGCAGAGGCCACCTCTGCCCCCCACTTCCACCGCAGCTGTGCATTACACCAGCCCACAGACTCCAGCCATCCCCATACGTCTGCTCTGGGTAAAGCCAAGCTCATTTTTTCTGGCTTGATAGCTACTCGGTGGGCAGATTTGCGCCCAGGCTAGTCATTTCAAAGGATCGTTTTGCAAAACTCCATTACCCTGGTAATGTTTGCACCGTGGTGCTCGTGAACCCAGGTCCTGCCATCTCGCCTTATCGCTGCCAGCAGAGGCAGAGGCACGGCGGGGTGAGTGGAAGGGAGCTCCCTGCTCTGTGGAGCTCTGGAGATAAGGGATGTGCCGCAGCCAAGGATGGATCACGGCTGGAGAAAGCAGAAATATCACCTCATTCAGCTGGACAGTGTAGAAAAAAGCATCGCTCTTGGAGGGGCTCCACACGTAGAAACGTGAGTGATGATGAAGCATGCCAAGAAGAAAAAAAGAGCGAAGCAAAACTGTAGTTAGGAATGACCTGGTTTGTGTGCAGCGTGCGGGCACGGCCCTGCCGGGGTACAGCCTGCGGGGAAGGACAGGCTCCCGGGTTGGTATTCTGCTCACTCTGCAGCTGAACCAGCCACGGAAGGTCCCAGAACCTCATCTCCTGGCCACTAGTACGGAGCGAGCCACCCCGGGTCAGTGACACACGCCTCCTTTAACCATTAGAGTTATGAGCTCTTTAGTCCAAACTGTGACGAGGCCAGGAACCAGCCGCTTCAAAATATGAACTTTTCTTCTTTGGATTTTTAATCGTCACATTATCAGGTGAGAACCTGGCCATCATCGTTATACGGTGTTTACTTCAGAAATTGCTAGAGAGATGTGCAGTGGTCTGAATTACACTTCAGTCTAAATGTTTGTTGAATAAAAGCCAAAATGGCAACCCCCATCCGACTCAAGCCATGTACTTCAGTCACTACAACACACATTAACCCCTATGGCTGAAGCCCCCACTGAAAACCAGCAAACCCCAGACAAGGGGGAGCAAGGGCTGAGCAGGGACTCGCACACAGTTTTCTCTTATACTGGTGAGTTTGGAGCAATTCTCTGGGCTTTGCTCTCCTCTCGCATACACGCCCACGGCTCATTCTAACACACAATTAATGGGAGTTCAATGCACAGACCAGCAATCACAAGTTACCCACACCAAGGAGAGAAAATTTTACATATCTGATAAATAAAATACATTCTTATATATAGTATTCTTCTATTATACTGTCTCATTCAAGGTCCCCCTACTACAGATCAAACAGATTGTAGAAATCAAACAACCCAGGATGCCCCGCGATACATTCCCAGGCGCTGGAAGACACGGCAGGGAAGGTTAGAGCCTGCGGCAGCACATGGGGCTACGGAAATACTGAGGCATTCATAAAAAAAAAGATAAGCAAAGTCCCCCCAGAAAAGCTGGAGCTTTTATTTTCAGAGCAGGAAGCGTCTGTATTTCAGGGTAGTGACTCGATATCCGTCCCAGTGCCGGCGGATGCCGATGGAATGGGTTTGTCTGCTGGCAGCGGCCGGGCTGGCTCAGCTGTGACTGGGCAACTGGTGTCCCTGCAGGGCTGGGGACCGAACAGGGCCAGGGCAGCACATACAGGGATGGCAGCAAGAGACAGGTCCGAGTGTTTCCTGGTGCCACTGCAGCTCCGGCAGCATGGAGGAGCTCTATTCCCAGCTATCCAAAGACAAATTCAGCGCTGAAGCTGTACGACAGCATTCACACAAAAGCACGCTGGGTCTCCTTTGGGGAAGGGTTGGTCGACTGATGGCCGAAGGGCAGCACTGACCCCAAACAGCATCTTCCTCCCATGGCCAGGACCAGCCGAGCAGAGCATTGCTGTGTGTGTTATGGGCCCACG